AGAAGATTTATATCACTTTATTTTTTTGTGTGGTGCAATATGTTTGTGTTTGGTGCACTATAAACCGTTTTATTATTTTTTTTCTCCTATAACACTGCACAAGACTGCTGCTATAACACTGCGCAAGGCTGCCGCTATAACACTGCGCAAGGCTGCCGCTATAACACTGCGCAAGGCTGCCGCTATAACACTGCGCAAGGCTGCCGCTATAACACTGCGCAAGGCTGCCGCTATAACACTGCGCAAGGCTACCGCTATAACACTGCGCAAGGCTGCTCCTATCACACACAAGCAGCCTTATATATGAGGGGCATGAACTTAGCCCCTGAGCCATGATTGGCCAAAGTCACCAAGACTTTGGCTAATCATGGCTCTTTCTGTGAACGCAAGCTGTGATCGTCCAAAGCATTGCATCTGACCTGCATTATGGGGCGCAAACTTCCCGCCGAACGCCCCATACGTTCGAGTGTTTGGCGAACAAACGAACAGCCAATGTTCAAGTTGAACCTAAAATGCAGCCCATCCCTAGTCACCAACAACCTCCCACTGCCTGGCTGCCTAAGCTTCAGACATTACTTCGATTGCCCCCTAGCAAAAGCAATATAACCTCCTCGACTTCCACTGCAGGCTAGACCATTGTAATGTATCTGCACTGGCTCTTCATCCCCATTCTAAACCCTGTTCTTAGATACTCCATGCATGCACCTGTTGTTAAGTAACTTCAGCAAAAGACCAAACAAAAGGAGGCTCACCAGCCTAGTGTATTATCCCCGGGGGGGGGGGGGGTTTATTTCCATAAAAAGATAAAAACATACTCACATACGATGAATGTGTACAGTATATCAAGCCACCATCTCGTGGCACAGTGAATAATAGGATCCAAAGTGATCCAACGCCAGGATAACACCGTCCGGGATTCAAAAGCGGCTTACGCGTTTCGAGGGAAATCCCTCTTCATCAGGGCCATCTGCTTACCAGATGAGTGGCCTCAGCCAGCGCTGTTGATGCATTTCACCCCACCCAATGTTGGTGGGATGAAACCTGTCGGAGGGCATGGCCAGAGCTACGCCGGGCTATGCCGCACATCTTGTAAGCACTGGAACGGTCTGATCATCATCTCATGCAAGATAGTTTGACGCTTCTAGATGGATGAACCACACGCATGCTGCCATTCTCTGAGTACCGGCAGGGAGACATTCAAGCCCCAGCTTTGAACGCAGCTTCAAGCTCCTTCATACCTCCTGTTCATGTTGTATTAGAGTGCCCCAACCTAGGTGAAGGGGCACAGGGCCAAAGCAGACAGCAGCATTGTCAGCCTGGGGGGGGGGGGGGGGTAGTGTTAAATGGAGTAACAGATTTACATAAACTAACTGAAGCCATACGTCACTTTATAATAAGTTACAGCAAACAGTTATGTTTTCTCTTTTTAGGATAAAGCTTTTGCGTGAATAAATAAAAGCCGATCATTGTAAGCACCCCTGCCAGCCTTAAATTGTTTGTCTCATACTTGTATCTGCAAGAGAGTTTGTTCTTTTGGAAAACAACAGACTTTATGGCTGGATCACTAGATGAAAATAGAAGAAGGAAAGCCTAAAAAATAAAACTAATACAGCCTTCACATCTAAGAATTGGTAAACTGCAATATAATATATGTTCACATTTGGTTTAAAAGGCTAAAAGAATTATAAATGCAAATATTTTTGCAGAAAACAAAAATTTACAAGTATTATTTTTTTCTGATGAGCCTGCAGAGCATTGCATTGGGCATCAGTAGATCATGGGTGCAATCTCAGGCTAATGGAGGAGCGTCACTGAAGTGCAAGAGCACTCATCAGCATCCTCTCAGTTATTTCAGAACTACAACCTGTCTGCCACGGTGGCTGATGGTACTTGTAGTACATTCATTCACTGATTGTTTTGAATGAATGATGTGTCTGTGTAAGTGGATCCCCACACAGTGGGTGCAGGGAGAAGATCCTCCTCCCGCTGTCCCAAGGGGAGGATCGGGGGACCAGGGGGGCAGACCTTAAGCATGTGACACATTATACTCTAAATATGGGTGTAACATGTAACATGCTTTAAAAGGTGAACTTATCCTTTATCACTGCTTTAATCAACAGGCTTGTCTTCACATGAAAACACAGGGTCCTATTGCTCAATAATGGATACATTTTGACCACTGATGTTTTGGACCATCTTCTTTACCCCTGAAATGCCCCAATACCACCTTGTACAACCACAACAATGGGTAGAATTGCGGTGTGTAAAAAAAAACTTGAGGTGTGATGTTTGAGAGCAGAAATGCAGAGAAACTTTCCAACCTGAGGGCAGTTCAAAAAACATTTTCAAATTTCTATAGAGCAGGGGTCTCCAAACCTCCTAAACAAAAGGTCAGCTTACAGTCCTTCAGACTTTAGGGGGCAGGGGCGGACTGACCATTTGGAAACTGCCCGAGGGCCCGGGGTCAGTAGGGGGCCCCATGAGATGCCCCTGGCACCTTTTTCATAGGCTTTTTTGAGTTTGGGCAAGGACACAGGGGCCCCATGATCCATATTGCCCGGGGGCCCCTTGAGTTGTCAGTCCACCCCTGGGGGGGGGGATGTGTCCATTAGGAGAAGAAAAGGTCCCAAAGTCGGTCTTTAATGTCAGTGGGAGGAATTGTGCCCCATCATTGGTGTCAGTGGAAGGAATTGTGCCCCATCATTGGTGTCAGTGGGAGGAATTGTGCCCCATCATTGGTGTCAGTGGGAGGAATTGTGCCCCATCGTTGGTGTCAGTGGGAGTAATTTTTCCCCATCATTGTCATTGGGAGGAATTGTGCCCCAAAGTTGGTGCCAGTGAGGGATTTATGGCCCATTGTTGGTATCAGTGGATGAAATAGTCTCCCAAGGGCTGGATAAAAGCAAGCAAAGGGCCACATCTGGCCTCCGCGCCACAGTTTGGAGACCACTGCTATAGAGCATCCAGTGTCTGCAGTCTTCTTCAGGCAGAATGACAGTCATGCAGGTCTGCCCATTTCCTGTGAGCCCAGCCTGCCATTTATCTGCCCCCCCTAAGGTGTGCTTCACCATTCAAGCTGGGCTCACGGTACTCCAGAACGGAGGGGTGCTCACAAGCCAATACGTAGGACCCATCCATTCCAGGAGAATGCACATCCCCACCGTCACTGGAGTAAAAAGAAGAAGCTGCTATAATGTCTTCAAACCAGCTAGAACAGCATAAAACAGTGGACTTCAAATTGCTATTTTCTAGTAGCTAAGTGGGCTTTATATTTTAAAGAACTATCATTAAATTTTGCCGTTGTGTCCCCCTTGTAACAAAGTACATGTAGTACTTTATCCCATGTTGCTAGATGCTTCATAACATTAGTTATGAGGTTAGACTGGGCACCATCTGACAACATAGCTAGCAAGGAAATGGCTGCTATATAATGGCTACTTGTCTTGGACTCTGATGGCTTAGACTTGGAGGGTATTGGCATCTGGCTGGCTATATGATTGGGAATAGCAAATTGTTAAAGTATCTTGTGTTTCAGTAGGTAACATCTACCTTTAAAACACGATTTCAGAAAAGCAATCAATCATGTATTTTAAAACACAATGCCTAATATAGGCAGCCACACCACCAAGAGACTTGGCCTAAACACAAATCAGCTATAGAAGACACAATTCAAGTAATGCACCAGTAGGTGAGCACATATGAGGAAGTATAATTACATGATCCGACTGGGAACCAGTAGGTCTGCAGCAATTTAGAGAGGTCAATTGACCATGGGCATACTAAGTGGTAGGGTACCAGTCCTTGTAACTAGAAGGACCTGGGGCATCTATTTTTTGCTCTTGGAGCATATTTACTATATGGACATTTACCCAGATCCCATGGACCTTTCACAGAGGATTTGTGACTCATTGAGGTTGAATTACTAAAGGCCAATACACTCACCAGCCACTTTATTAGGTCCACCTGTTCAAATGTTTGGTAACATAAATTGCTAATCAGCCAATCACATGGCAGCAACTCAATGCATTTAGGGAGGTTGACGTGGTGAAGACGACTTGCTGAAGTTGAAACTGACCATCAGAATCGGGAGGAAATGAGATTTCAGTGACTTTGAACATGGCATGGTTGTTGGTGCCAGAAGGGCTGGTCTGAGTATTTCAAAAACTTCTGATCTACTGGGATTTTCATGCACAGCCATCTCTAGGGAAATTGAGACTCATTAGACCAGGCAACATTTTTCCAATCTTCTATTGTCCAATTTTAGTGAGCCTGTGCAAATTGTAGCCTCCGTTTCCTGTTCCTAGCTGACAGGAGTGGCACCCAGTGTGGTCTTCTGCTGCTGCAGCCCATCTGCTTCAAGGTTCTAGGTGTTGTGTTTTCAGAGATGGCATTCTGCCTACCTTGGTTGTAACGAGTGGTTATTTGAGTTACTGTTGCCTTTCTGTCATCTTAAACTAGTCTGCCCATTCTTCTCTAACATCCACAGGGCATTTCCGTCCACACAACTGCCACTCACTGGATATTTTCTCTTTTTCGGACCATTCTCTGAAAACACTAGAGATGGTTGTGCATGAAAATCCCGGTAGATCAGCAGTTTTTGAAATACTCAAACCAGCCTGGCACCAATAGCCATGCCATGTCTAAAGTCACTTAAATCCCTTTTCTTCCCCATTCTGATGCTCGGTTTGAACATCAGCAAGTCATCCTTACCACGTCTAGATGCCTAAATGCATTGAGTTGCTGCCATGTGATTGGTTGATTAGCACTTTGTATTACATAACAATTGAATAGGTGTACCTAAAAAAGTGTCCGGTGAGTGTAGACTGTGCACTTGCACTCTGCAAGAGCAGTTGTTCCAGAGCTCAGTAAATGAGCAGAAGCTCTGCTAAATTCCATCATACAATCATGTGCAAGTAAAAATGCTGTTGCAAGTGTACAGTGTATTTGCCTTTAGTAAATCTACCACTTAGTATTTGTTCCTTCATAACAGTCTTTTCAAATTAACAAGCAAAACTAAACGTGAGGCTCAAAATACTTTCAAATGTTATCCCTGGAGGATGAACGCTCGCTGTGGCAGATGCCACCGTCATGTCCCAGGCATCCACAAAGCCCACGTTGAGGTCCTTGAAAACTTCTCTCAGCACAAGGTACTGGGTATAACCGTGGAAGTCTCCCTGTCTTTCCACTGGGGCATACAGTTCCCTCGTGTTTTCTGATTTAATGATAACCTTAGTGTCCGGACTACGAAGGTAGAGGTTTTCTACCGCTCGGCGAATGTTGAGTGCCCGTTTGATGAAAAGTTTAAGAGGGAACTGTCTGAAGTGCTGTCCCATGGTTATAACAAAAATGGTGTTCTTCCCTCCAGCCCGCTGATCGATCTGACGACTCGTGTACATGTCCTCCTTGAAGTAGTAGAAAGTGTCATGCTCCAGGGGAAAGCCATGTCTCTTATAGGAGACATATAGGTCCTTGCCGATATTTAGGGCTTCCAGGGACAGTGCCCAACCAGCCCATCCGCTTAGATGGTAACGGAAGTATTGCACAACTGTTGGAAACAAGAACAAGTGTTAAATAAGAGCAATATAGTCTCAGAGTTGTTTTCTCTCTTTCATGGGATGCTGGACAAAAAATAGACTTAGTAGAACGTTCTACAGCACTACCTACAGGTGTAAAATGCCATCACGTCTTGACCATTCAGGAAAAAGTGCGCTTCTCAAGTGATAAAAGGTGACCAATCCAACAAGAGATACAAACAGTGGCCAGCTTGTAGGTTTGTATCTCTTGTTTTTACACTGATTGCTTTTACACCAATAAAGGTGTCAGGAATGGACTTGCCAGTAATGGTGGGACTCACCTGCCTTGTGGGCTGCAGTACCAGGGCTGGCCAGCGGGTGCTCCCAGCAATCAGAGACTCAACCCTGCAGCCAGCCAAACACCTGAAACTGCTTATGCAGGTGTATTTAAGTGATGGCCAGACCTGCAGTCTTTGCCTTGGTGTGTGTGTTTTTTCCTGGGCCCTGTATCTTGTAAACCTGCGTTCCTGTTCCTGTTCCTGTTCCTGTCTTGTTGCTGACCCTGCTTGATCCTGACCTCTGCTGACTTCTCCTGTTCTGATCCCTGGCTTGTGACCCTGACCATTCTCTCCGCCTGCTCCTCCTGTACCTACCTGCCCGATAGTTATCGACCCGGCCTGCCTGATCACGTTGTGCTCTATATGTGTATGTACCTGTGTATCTGTATCAGTTTAGGTTTGGGTTTGTTTCACCTTGTATGTATTTGTGTTAGCTTGGGGTTTGGTGCACTGCGTTTATGTTTGTATTGTTAGTCTTTAATAAATAATATTGTTTATAACATATCTGAAGTCTGCGTTTCCCTGCGTCAGTCACATACCTCTGGTCATACCCTGGAGCCCTGACAAAAGGCTGTAAAAGCAATAATTTCTCCTTCTCTCTGGCTGCTTTCCTGCAGCCATTGAGAAATACTGTGAGAGCTGGTATTGGTACAGCTTGTCACATGGTACAAGGCTGTTGTGAATAGCCCTGTACCATGTGATCTCTGTGACCATTCACAGATTTCACACGTAGTAAGCAATGATGTCAGAAGTGACATCTTGCTTACTACTATTCATGTGATCACTGATTGGCCAATCAGTGATCACATGATCGGGACCTCACACAGAGGTCCCGTACAGCGATCGGTGTTCCGCTGTGTACTCCGGACACAGCAGGTACTGGATCGCGGTGCTGCGTGCTCCCAGGCAGCGCGCACAGTCTAAAATGGCAGGCGCCTTTTATGAACGGCAAGACGCTCCTGCACTGCTCCTGTCCGGCCGTTTATATACATGGGCCAGACGGGAAGTGGTTAAAGAGGGGTGCCCATGGTTTTGAATTTTGAATAAGCTCATAAAGGTAAGATGCTTAGTGGTCCACAAATTTATTGTGATGAAATGTATTTGAATTTTAGCCAAGTAAACAGGCTTACCATGGAATTTTATCAACCTTACTAGGTCTCATTTAAATGTCAGGAAAGTTCTGTCTGTACCTTAGAGAAACCTCATGAACTGAAATCTGGTTCCATCTCAGAAGACTAAACCTCCATTCTGGTATTCAACCACAGAAATGTTCATTTAGAAATCTAACATGTTGAGAATGTGTCAACAAGAACCATCCATGGAAACCTAGTTGTTATAACATGGCAGCCTTGTTGAAATTATTGATGGTTATATAAATACTATAGGTATATTATAAGTATTTTGCTCGTGTAAATCTTACTTTTGATGCCTTCAGTAAAGAACATCATGAACTGTCGCAATGTAGAATCTCCTATGAGGAAAAGGTTTTTCCCTTGCAGACATCTCATAAAGTCATCTCCAGTTCTGTAGAGGGTCATATTGCAGTAGAGGGGATTCCAAATATTTTTGTAAAAATATCCACTTGGGAAAGGAGATCCCATTCCCATCTGACATTTTGGCTTGGGGGCAAAATTAGAGCCTGCAAAAAAGATCACACAGCATACGAGATCAATATATTTGAACAAATTACTTTCTGAAGTCTCTACTAGACATGTGCATGTCAGAAATTATTGTTTCATTTCAGATGCATTCGTTTGTCGAAAAATTTCATTTTATCTTCTTTCTTATGCTGAACTGATTTGTTTTCAGAATTTGTCTTGTGTGTTTGGCATTGGTTTCGTATACTCGTTGGTCTGGGTGGATTTGAAAAATTTTGCATTTTTTTCTAGAATATTGCTGTATATTCGATATATTATTGAATCGGAATTGAATTGGAAAGATTTGGTATTTTCAGATGCTAGTCCAACCCACCAAGAGAAATAGCCTGAGCTGATAATATCACCTGACATCATGTGCATCCGAACGAATGAATGGAACGAAATTCAGATCCATTTGTTATCTAAATCCGAATTATTGAAATTATTCAAAAACTGAATTCATTTTCCTATGGGCCCGAACTACAATCACATCATGTGACATCATCTGAACAAAACAAATGCAATACATTTTTTTTGGACTCATTGACATTCATTACTTTGTCCATTCAAAGATCCAGATGTGAAATTTTCATCTGAAAAACGAATCGAAACAAAATGCACATGTCTAGACTCTACACATTTTTTTTCTGGAACACCAATCTGTGAATATATCTGTATCTGGCAAACACAATATGACATAATGTGGGACCTAGTGGCCAAGAAGGGCACCATCGGAGATTTATATCTTTAGCTACTACTAGACAATGATTTGATTTTTTTATTCAATTTTTTTTTTTTTTTTGAAAATTAGAGGTTATACCAAACACTGCATACATCTCCATCAAAAGATCAGCATTACAGAGTGCCACAATAAGCGGCTACGTAATCTACACATTATCTGGATTGTAGGAAAAGATGTAGGAAGAACCTCAGCCGCTCGGAGTAGATAGATATGGCTGAGAGGGAAAACCAAGTGGGGGAAGAGTATGGAGGGGGTGAGTGTCTTGAGTGTGTTGAGTTTGTCATAGGCTATGCACCTGGATTATAATTTTCAATGATGCAATCACATAATTTTTGCTAGGAAAAGTAGCCATGTTAGACTCCACTGTACTCTGTAAGAACTATTTGGTTCAGTACCTTTAGAGTCATTAAAGTGTTACTAAACCCACAACAGTACAATCAGTCTGTAGATGCAGTAAAGCGTGCTTGTTATACTCACTGTGGAACCTAAGGGATTAATCCTCTGCATAGGCCGTTTGATCCTGGCTTCTCTGACCCTCCTCTTGTTAAGTGTCCACCTTTTATCTCATGATAAGAGAGACTAAGCCTTAGCCATTCTGAACATGCTCAGGTTAGTGTGTATTGCTAGAGAGGGTTTTTTATTTTTTTCTTAGGAGAGTGCATGTGATCAGCACAGGGCCAATCAGCACTGTCCAAATAGAGGGTCAGGGGCTTTGCATCCTCTGAGAGCAGAAAGAAAAACTCCTCCTACAAGCATAATCAGTGCTCTGCTGGACACTGATAGAAGTCACATGACTGCTCTAACTGCTGATGAGAAAAGGTATTTAGCAGTTTATATTTACTAAAATAATTGCATTTTCATGTTGTGTTTGCTGTGGGAGACCGGATATAGTGAATGCAGGGTCTGGGGAGAGCAGATATAGTGAGTGCGGGGTCCGGGGAGACCGGATATATTGAGTGCAGGATCCGGGGAGACTGGATATAGTGAATGCAGGGTCCGGGGAGACCGGATATAGTAAATGCAGGGTCTGGGGAGACCAGATATAGTGAATGCAGGGTCCTGGGAGACCAGATATAGTAAATGCAGGGTCCAGGGAGAGCAGATATAGTGAATGCAGGGTCCGGGGAGACCGGATATAGTGAATGCAGGGTCCGGGGAGACCAGATATAGTGAATGCAGGGTCCGGGGAGAGCGGATATAATGAATTCAGGGTCCGGGAAGACTGGATATAGTGAATGCAGGGTCCGGGGAGACCAGATATAGTAAATGCGGGGTCCTGGGAGACCAGATATAGTGAATGCAGGGTCTGGGGAGACCGGATATAGTGAATGCAGGGTCCTGGGAAACCAGATATAGTGAATGTGGGGTCCTGGGAGACCAGATATAGTGAATGCAGGGTCCGGGGAGACCAGATATAGTGAATGCAGGGTCCGGGGAGACCAGATATAGTGAATGCGGGGTCCGGGGAGACCAGATATAGTGAATGCAGGGTCCGGGGAGACCAGATATAGTGAATGCAGGGTCCGGGGAGACCAGATATAGTGAATGCAGGGTCCGGGGAGACCAGATATAGTGGATGCAGGGTCCGGGGAGACCAGATATAGTGAATGCAGGGTCCGGGGAGACCAGATATAGTGAATGCAGGGTCCGGGGAGACCAGATATAGTGAATGCAGGGTCCGGGGTTTAGTAACACTTTAAACCCAAAACAAAGTTTTGGTCCATAGGAAGCCAAAAATGTATTTGATAATCCTAACTGATCCTTCATAACAGAGAATGCACCATCAGTGTTTACAAATTCTCAGCTCCATCTCAGGAAAACAAAATCCTTATAGCATTATAAATAAAGAAAGCAAAAGGAAAAGAAGCAGCTTACTGTTACATCCGGATACTACTATAGGTGGCAATGCTTGAGGGATTTCAACAGCAATATTTGAGCTTAGAAAACAACAGAAAATTACACAGTCAGAATATTTCAAAATGGTGGATATTAGTGTAGCGATAAACAACATGATACAGATCAGCAGACAAACGGGAGTCTTTTCACCGATTTAGGCGAGTTGGCGTTGCTTGTAAAAGAGAGAGAATGGGAAGAGAGAAAGCAGGACATAGAGAAAGAGAGACAGAGCAGGGAAGAGTACAACAACAGTTGAAAAGGAAGCAGGAAAGGAGAAGGGAAATAGGAAGAGAGAGAGAAAAAAAATAGAGGAACAAAATATATTTATATTTTCTTACTATTCACTTTAAATATATTTTATTGCAAGGTATAACTTTGATACTGCTGTCACAAAGCATTCTAAGTGTCATTTTATTCTGGGTGTCATTTCATGTAATTTAAGATTTATTTCTGTTATGAATTCAATGTGTGCAACCTGAAGCTTGAGCTACTGAGCTCTGTATATGGGATATTTTCAACAGATCAGCTAAGAAGAGACAGGCGCACGTGTAACCGGCACCTGTTGATTGTCGAGCATCTCTGACCGGGGAGAGGGGGGAGGAACTGTTTGTAAACAAAACAGTTAACTCCCCTGTCAGCTCCTGCACACTGCTTTGTATGGCTCTGCATAGCAAAGCCATAAAAAGCAGTGTGCTTACAATGAAGCACAAACACAGCCCAGTACGTAAAACAGCACACAGCTAACCCTTTGATCACCCAACATGTTAACCCCTTCCTGTCCTGTGCTATTAGTACAGTGTCAGTGCTTTTTATTAGCACTGATCACTGTATTGGTGTCACTGGGGATGTCAGTGACACCAAGTCAGTTCTCCTCCAGTGTCAGAATGCCCACCGAAGTCCCGCTATAAGTCACTGATCGCTGCCATTACTAGTAAAATAAATAAATAAATAAATCCATAAATCCCAGTATATGTACAGCCATTTCTAGACGCTATAATGTTCATGTAAACCAATTAATTCACACGTCTTGAGATTTTTTTTAGCAAAGACATGGAGCAGAATTCATTTTGGACTAAATGTATTTATTTATTTTTCTTTTTTTTTAGAGGGAATTATTTTTTTAATTTATTTTATTTTTTGTTAATAGCATCTTACAAACAGAAAAAAAAGAAAACATTTTTATGCATACTCAACTACAATTTGTTACAATTTTTTCCAATCCCCTGTTTCCTTCCCCATTTCATCACCTGCTTCTTTTTAACCATCAATCTCCCTCTCCACCATCAACTCCACAAACCTCTGTATGATATAATTCTTCCTTTCTTTGTATATATTGCACCCTCTTTAACCAATCTTTTAATTTAGGCGTTTCCTGAGTCATCCAAAACGTAGGAATCAGCCCGTTTGCGGCATTTATTAAGTGAGGTGTCATTGTATTCCTATATTGCTTTACTATTAAGTCAGTGTTATGAAATAAGCACACCCATAGATCTTTACTTATTTCTTGTCCTGTAATTTATCCTATTTGTTGGATTACGTCTTGCAAAATTTCCTGTATTTTGGGGCACTCCCACCATATGTGTACTATTGACCCATCCCACATCCCCTCCCGCAAAACAATGAGTTCTCTGGGTGTAACTTATGAGTTCTACTGAATTTGTAATTCATCTTGACTGTATTCATGTCCACTACCCCATGTGCAATTCTGAACATTTTCTTTCTCTTCTGGTTACCCAACTGTGTTTTCAACTCTTTCTCCCATCTACTCATCAACTGGTGCTAATGGTTCAGCCATCGCAGTAAGTGTCCTATAAATACGCAAAGTGCAGTGTTTTTGTGTTCCTTTTACGTTCAATAGCTGCTCTATTGGGTGCAAACTCTTAACATTTCTCAGTGGCTGTGGGAGTGAAACGACGAAATGTCTCAGTTGAAAGTACCGCCACTCGTCCATGATCCAAAACACTTTTTTCTGTTTCAACTCCTGCAAAGCGACTAATTCTCCTTCCTTCATAATATTATTTATCCATGCATTCCCATCTATAATCCATGTCCACTACCCCGTGTGCAATTCTGAACATGTTCTTTCTCTTCTGGTCACCCAACTGTGTTTTCAACTCTTTCTCTCATCTACTCATCCACTGGTGCTAATGGTTCAGCCATCGCAGTAAGAGTCCTATAAATACACAAAGTGCAGTGTTTTTGTGTTCCTTTTACGTTCAATAGCTGCTCTATTGGGTGCAAACTCTTAACATTTCTCAGTGGCTGTGGGAGTGAAACGACAAAATGTCTCAGTTGAAAGTATCACCACTCGTCCATGATCCGAAACACTTATTTTTTCTGTTTCAACTCCTGTAAAGCGACTAATTCTCCTTCCTTCATAATATTATTTATCCGTGCATTCCCATCTATAATACATTACATCTTGCCAAAATTCCTGTATTTTGGGGCACTCCCACCATATGTGTACCATTGAGCCCTCCCTCCCACATCTCCTCCATTCAAAACAATGAGTTCTCTGGGTGTAGCTTATGAGCTCTACTGGGTGTAATGTACCATCTTGTTATGAATTTGTAATTCATCTCAACTGTATTCATGTCCACTACCCCATGTGCAATTCTGAACATTTTCTTCTCTTCTGGTTACCCAACTGTGTGTTTTCAACTCTTTCTCCCATCTACCGCCACTCGTCCATGATCCAAAACACTTCTTTTTTCTGTTTCAACTCCTGTAAAGTGACTAATTCTCCTTCCTTCATAATATCCTTTATCCATGCATTCCCATCTATAATACGTGTCCACTACCACGTGTGCAATTCTGAACATTTTCTTACTCTTCTGGTCACCCAACTGTGTTTTCAATTCTTTCTCTCATCTACTCATCCACTGGTGCTAATGGTTCAGCCATCGCAGTAAGTGTCCTATTAAAACACGCAAAGTGCAGTGTTTTTGTGTTCCTTTCAAGTTCAATAGCTGCTCTATTGGGTACAAACTCTTAACATTTCTCAGTGGCTGTGGGAGTTAAAGGACAAAATGTCTCAGTTGAAAGTATCACCACTCGTCCATGATCCGAAACACTTCTTTTTTCTGTTTCAACTCCTGTAAAGTGACTAATTCTCCTTCCTTCATAATATCCTTTATCCATGCATTCCCATCTATAATCCAAGTTCCTACAATAGTGCTTATCCCAAGTGGGAAGTCATTCATTCCCACAAATAATATTAAAGAGAAGTTATACTCCCATCCATTTTGTTTGTGCAGTGCATCCCATATCCTAAATACATTCTTAGTGAAAGTGCTCGTATTTACAGAAAGCCTTCGGTACTGTTGTGGAACCCAAATGACTTTGTCCAGATGTGCTTCACTCATTGTCAATTCAATCACAACCCAACTTTTCCCTTGTAAATTATACACCCATTCCATTATTCGAGTTAAAATTAGTAGCATCTTTTAATCTCCGTCATATTTAGTCCTCCATTTATTTTATCTTTACACAGGACCTCATATTTCACCCTTGGTTTTTTGTTTATCCATACATATCTTATTATCATTCTTTTTAATACCCTAAAATACTCTTGCGACAAATATATTGGAATTATTTTGAATTTATACAAGATTTTTGGGAGTAACCATGTTAATTTGGCCTATCCGAGTGTAAGGACCACCTGGCGGTACCACTAACCCTCCACTGATTACGCGTCCCCAGAGCACGGAATCTAAACCCCAGAGTACTTGTTCACCAGAGCCCCTGATGGTGGGGATGGACTTGGAGTACCCTGAGACCAGGTCGTGGCTCCTGAGTATACCTGTCAGTGGTAGGGGTATTTGCCAGGGGCTCCCACGGGGACGAGCCTGATGTGAGGAGGTCGGGAGACCCCGGTGGGATGGATGGATGGACGGATGAGCAGATGCAAGGTCAGACAAGCCGGGTCGGTAACAGTGGGGTCGGTGCGGTACAAAGCAGCGGGCAGAGAATTGTTGGGTCACACGCCAGGTCAGCAACAGGAGGTCAGATCTAATAAGGGGCATCCAGGAGAGAGGTCAGGCAAGCCAGGGGTCAGGGTAGGAGAATACAGCAAGGTCAGGTCCAATCCGGGTCAGTAACTTACAGAGAACAGGATCACAGGTACAGGTATGCAGAAGAGACCAGAAGGCACTGAATGACAGCTCAGGGCCGTTTAAATATCGTGCCCTGTGCTGTCATTGGTGCCCGGCGCGCGACCGCGACCGCGGTCCTACTGCACATGCGCGAACCTGAATGCCGCGGTCAGCCAGGACCTGGTGCCCGCGTCCCTGCACAGAGCGGCGCACTGCGCCTGCGCCGGGAACAGCGCCTCGGGGATCCCTGACACAGAGACAAGGAGCCTTTTGATATTTTCTTCAGCTCCTCTTTTATTTCATTCAGCAATGGTATATAGTTCGCTTGATAAATACTCCTAGTTGATGGGGTTAACTTTACTCCTAGATACTTCAATTCTTTATCTTGCCACTTAAAAGAAAATTCTTCTTGTAATACTTGTCTATCTACTTTCGGCATATTAATATTTAGAATCTCATATTTTGTGAGGTTAATTTTAAATTAGATTGGAGATTGATGGGAGCTGGAGAGATACTAGGTCTCACCTGTCCTTGTGTGAAGGTTTTACAGGTACCACACCTCTATTGGAATAGTGAAGAAGATAAACCCTAGTAGGAGAAAATAATGGGGCTTTTAAGGTACCATACCAATATGGGGATAAAGATGCATAATCATAACAATATTGGTTAAAATAGAGGATATTTTATTATGACATTATAGAAAAAAAAAACCACACAGAGTGGTAAGCAAGACAATCGCCAATGTAGGCACATACATAATGAGTCAACAAAAATATAAAGAGATAATAGTGGGCAAAGACTCTGGCTTGGGACGTAAGAACATCATGAGCAAGAGTCCTAAAACCCTATTGATACCATCAAAAGAATTGATCCTCATCAAACTGGTGAAACAATTACAGACATGAAAGGTATGAAAAATGTTGGTAATTAGTGGAAATATCTAAATT